ATGCGATGGAAGGCCAAAACCTGGGTCAGCCTCATCTGCAGTGTCGGAATCAGGTGCTCCTGGCAATGTGACTTTGGATCTCGTAACATAAGCCAGAGGGGCACCGCAAACGCCTCGCTTGACATTCAGAACGTTGTCGATGGACTCCAGAACTCGTCGGACATCCTCGACCTTCAAGAGTTGGGGAGGATCCGCAACATCGATGTCTTCTCGTTCGGACTCGTATAAAGCCCAAACTCTATTCAATCTCGCCAAACTGGCTTGGTTGGGAGTGAACTCACGCTGGATTCGTGTCATGTGAAACTTGTAGAACCGTAGTTGTCTGAGTCGCTTCTCAAAGACAAATCCCAGCTGTCGTCCACGGTTGGGGACTTCTCTGGGCTGAACTCAGTGGCTGCAGCCGCAATGGCTGGATTTGGAATGGTACCACCTGGTTTCCTCACATTTTCGCAGATGCTCTTGATATCGGCATCGGTAAAGGTATCGAGTGAGACGAAGGCATCCAATCCTTGATCATTCAATGCTGTCCTCGTGGCTAGTTCGGCAATACCGATGGTATTCTGTAGATAGTTGTTCATGGCTGCAAGATTGCCTGCCATATTCGCCTCCAATTACTTCTTCTCTTGCGGTATCACTTGGATGAGCAACAGTTGTTGGGTCTTCTTCTCTGCTCCTATTCCAACAGCAAACTGTACACACCCAGACAAGTAAAGCTGTATTCCAGGGAATGAGCTCTGTACACCCAGTCTGTGACAGTCTAGGCCAAAACTCTTGGATCAGGCGTCCCCTCTCCTTGGCTCAACCGGTTTCTTTGGTGACAATGAGGCAGGAATTGATCCAGACTGGAGGGATCAATATTCCAAGTCCAAACCTCTGCTTCCCACTTGGAAGTCTCTATCTCTCGCTTCGTCTTGAGAGAGCCCCTTCTTCTTGAGAGGTCTTCTGTTGCTATGCCGCTTGGAGATCTTCTCTTCTTCTCTTGTTCCTCTGCAGATTACACTGTCAAAGAGGATCTCTTCTTCTCGTCGTGTTCGAACGGTAGCTCCGAATCGGTAGCTTCGAATCGGCGACAATGGCGCTGCTTCGAATGAACGAACAACTCTTCTTCTTGCTTCAGATGAACGACAATGGCGCTTGAACGATAGCAGGTAGCGTCGTCTGCTTCTTTCTTCTTCTCCTCACGACGATCGACCGAAAGGATCGAACGGTGAGTCTTCGTTCGCAACACTCGCTTCGAACGAACGGTATCTTCGAACCGTATCTTCACGTCGAACGGTAGCGTCGACAATGGCGTTCGAACGAACGAACGGGATACGGCCGTCGCTTCGACGCTTCCGCTGCTATCGTCTTGTTCTTCTATCGATCGCTAGGGTAGCTTCCACGCCTGATAAGCCGAAAAAGGCTGATGATAGAGAGGTTGCTATAGTGTTGTGTGTTACTACTTGGTTGTTGTGGTTGTGGTTGATTTCTAGTAATCTGGTAACTGGATAGTCATAAATCGCTACCACAGGTCATTTTCGGAAACAGGGGACGTCCCCAACTCGATGCTGAAACATTGGGCTTTTGTTTACCAGTGAAATAATTTGAGTCTGGATGTGTGGATGGCCTGTTTGGGACAGCAGGACGGAGTTCCTCCAGTATTGCTTCCCCACCCTGGCGAAACCATTTTTTGCCTCCCCAGTCACTAATGATGTCACGTATATATAATATCGAGACATGAATGTAACAAATATGGTACTTAGCCGAACCGTTAACGGGTGTAACAGGCAGTCAGTTGGGCGCTCATGTCAGAATGACCGGGACTTCAAAATGAATTAAAAGCTAGTCGTGCTGTCTATCTCATAGGCCTTTCAAATATATCCCCGTTTCCCCCGTGACACTTTGCTTTTTTTGACAGTTGAACTGGAGAGAAATCGGGATATATGCATGGTGCTGACGTATGTACAGTCCAAAAGTCCCAAATAACAATAGGTCACAAAAAACCTGGGACCCGTGAAAGATATAAAGGGTGTGATGGTTTTTAAGTACAAGTTAGTTAACTACAAGGCCGAAAACACAAATCAAGAGGCTCTCACGAGCTTGGTCTTTTGTTTCTTTTCATAGTCAGAGGACAATTTACAGTCGCCGCTGACACTTTTGACCGCACAGTATGGGAAACAGTAGTGAGATAACACTTACAAACCAGTTCATCGATGATGTGCAGAAATTCTGCATTAAACATCCATAGAGTAATTAGAGGGGCTGTTCTCTTTACCGAAAGGGCCATTTCCACTGTCAGTGGCACCATTGTTGCCGTGCTCACTATTTGTTTGATTTCCAGTCTTCTTATATGGGTTGAATTGTGTGCTGGGAGCAGTAGAGTTGTTGGGGTAAAGGGGAGCGGTCTTCTCAGCCATTCCGGGGAACTGTCCTCTAGGAGGAATAGAAGCCTTCTTCTCAGCCAAACGCTGCTGAGGGTAGCCAAAAGGAACAGCTTCCGACACCTGACTGAAAGTGGGAGGTGTGGGCTTCGGTGGGGGTTTCTGCTGGGCAGAGTACTGATTAACTGTAATATTGGCATAGCGGCTTCCACCAGTGCTGCCGCTGGTGGAATTTCTGCGATCATTACGTTGGTTTCTGGTGTAGGTTCCAGTACCGTCTCCCAAGGTTTCTGTGACACTGGTGGTGCCTGTCCTGGCATGAATGGAAGTGGGAGGTGGTGTGCCCTTGGAACCAGAATGATCGGGGCACTTCTTCTGGAGGTCTTGCAGCAAGCTAAGAACTCGGTCCATCTGACCATCAAGGTGGTTCACGATGGCATTAAGTGCATCGAAACTTGCATTAGTATCTCTAATGAAAGAATCGCCAGTTGCCAAAGTGCGACCCCAAGTAGATCCGGAGCCGGAGGAAGTGGTGGAGGTTGAAGTTGATCCACCGCCTGCCCCTGCATCATTGACGGCATTGCACTTCTGAGTTGTGTGTCGCTTCAAGTCAGTTGTGGTGTCTTTCATTTTAGAGATAATGCGTGCTTCGAGTCCATCAATTCGAACTTCAACAGTGGAGGTGGCAGTTCTTACAAGCTCTCCCAAATCGCGCCAAGAGCGAGACGTCTTGTTGATAAGCTCGTTAGAGGTGTCAGTAGGAAGGGCACAAAGAAGCTTAATAGTGTGCTGGATTTGGTTGCCCAAATCGCTCATCATCTTAGTGTTTGTTGTATCAATCTTTTTTGTCACTTTGTCAAGTGACTTCCTCACGTGAGAAAGCTCCAAGTTGGTGCCAGTTTGCGCGGACAATATATTCTTAAAAGCTGTCCCGGGGATAGCAACGTTCTTTGCAGCTGGATTGAGGGTGCCTCCTCCCTGAGTTGAGAAACGTCTTTCACGAGCAATGGAGGCTCCATTTTTGTTATTGTCCATGACAACTTTTAAAAGGTCTTCTTCGTCTGAGGAATCATCAGACGATGAGTCCGTACTACTATCTTTGGCAAGAAGAGCCTCCTTTACACGTGCAGTCACCTGCGCTGCTTTCTTAAGATCAGCCAAACTTGGTTCCGGAGAAGGAGTCTTAGCAGTCTTTGTCTTAGGCTTCGGCTTGGTGGCAGACCTGCTGGTCTTTGGCTTCAGCTTTGGCTTGCTAGCGGATTTAGGAGGAGGATCCAATACAACAACATCAGAGTCAGAGTCCGTATCAGAATCCCAGGTGGCTGCTGCCACAGTACGCTGCTTTCTGGTTGAAGCAGGGGGGGCTTTCTTGGTGGTTGAAGACGTCTTCGGCTTTCTCTTCTCCTTCTCCTTTTTGGTGTTCTTCTTTTGCTGCTGCTTAATAGTGTTCTTGGTGAGGATAATGACCGGCTTCTTCTTGGTTTTGGAATGGTTCCTTTCTGCGGAGTTCTTCCAAGCACTCTTCTTGGGCTCCGAGACCACCTGTTGACTAAAGGTAGGTTGCTCTAACTGACTGTTGAGGGTGTTGGCTGTGGCCGTGGGTGTCTTTGGCTGCTTGCGTTCGCTTAGATTCCTCAAAACGTCTGCCAAATATTCCTCATCACAGCCGAAAGCATCTTGGAACTTACGTTTGCTGTTGGTGGATGCAGCTGCCTTCTCTATGTTCTCCTCCTCTTCCGTAGAAGGATCTGGGCTTGGGATGTAAAATTCATATTCATCTTTTGCGTTCATGACGGGCCTGGTGGGGCTGTTGTCATCGTCGGAATCGGTCCGGTAGGCTGGGTTGTCATCCCGTTTGAAAGACATGCTGTTGTTGTTGTTTCAGATGTGCCCCTGTGGAAGTGGCTTTGATCTGAATTGTGAGCTCTGTTCAAAGCTCTGTCGAGAGAGGAGACAAAATGTTGGCAGGTTGGAGGCAACAGTCAGTGCGTGCTCTCCCCTGTACAAACTATAAAGCCCTCTACGTAGTCCTGTTTCCGAGGGAGCAAGGAGATGCCAAGAGGGCTTATCCGTGAAGCAACTTGCTACTACAGTTACGTTCGTTCTACAGCGTTGGTGGCAGTTGGAGTCGATGTTGGAGGCAGATGCACCGGAAGCCTCTGTCGTGAGACCATTTGCTACTAGAGCTACCTTCATTCAACGGTGATGTTTGGGTGTTGGAGGCAGGTGAATTGCATGTTGGAGGCAGGTGAATTGCATGTTGGAGGCAGATCGGAAGATGCATTTGATCGTCATTGCAACGGCTAGTTTTGTGATCAAAGCTACTGCAGCTACTTGTGCCCCTACGTACTGGCAACTGAGAGGTTGGAGGCAGATCAATCACATCGCGGAGATGCTGGGTTGCTGTTGGATGCATTGCCGGAGTAGCCTTCGTGTAGAGCCCTGTTGGATAGATACCAATTTAATGGTGGCATGAACAAAAAGTCCGTCAGGAATAAAAAGAGATGCAATTGCTAGAGATAGACCAATGCCGGAGCAGTGTGAAGAGGACAGTAGAGACTGTGGCGATTAAAGTAGATTAAAAAGTATTCTGTTGTTGCTGTTTCGTGTTCATAGTGCCGGTGCATTGCCACTGGGAGTTTGCGTGATCATGTGCAGCACAGCCCAGAAAGCTGCTGCGTCTGTATTAGTCTCACAATTCAAAAAACAACCCCCCAGCAGTCTCATTATCTTGTGCAGAATCCCTTTTGATCATGACAGATCCGGGGAGTGATCCGATTGATGCCGCTCTTAATGAGAGTGAGACCAGAGACTACATGTCGGTGCTGACAAATACCAATCATCAGACCGGTATACCCACCCAGACAGTGATTAACTGGCTCTTCCGGAGTGAGGCAAGTACAGTACAGTTTCTGGTTGATGAGGAAATCATTTCCGTTCCTGCTTTCTGTCCAAAGTGCAACAATGGACTGGGCCCTCCGAATGACCAACAAGTTGTTCGCTGCCGTAATAGAGAGTGCAGACGAGAGCATGGTAGCGAGTGGTCCCAGTCTATCTACAAGGGATCTTTTCTAGCTGATTTCCGTGGTGGAAGGAGACATTTAATGCTCTTTCTGTACCACTGGTTGAGCGGAGCCACTGCAAAGCAGCTTGGAATCTACACTGGATGGAGTACTACTAAAGTTAAATTATGGACTGAATACGTACAGCAGCTAGTGTGTTCTATTGTTTTGGAATCCCAACAGAAGATTGGTGGAGAGGGCATTGTTGTGGAAATCGATGAGAGCAAATTTGGCAAGAGGAAGTATCATCGTGGGCACAAAGTGGAGGGTGTGTGGGTGTTTGGAGGTGTGGAGTTGACTGAGGAGCGAAAAGTCTTTGCCGTGACTGTTGACAAAAGAGACAGTGACACCCTCTTGCCTTTAATCCTCAAGTTTATTGAACCAGGTACGATTATCAGAAGTGACTGCTGGCCAGTGTATTTTTCCATTGAATACTTGGAAATGGACTTAGGTGACGGTTTGTCCTTGCCACTGTACCAGTGGGAAGGTGTCAACCACTCGCGGCACTTCAAGGACCCCGTCACTCAGGTAGGCTACTGCTGTTGCGTGGATATGACATGCAAATTTGTAAAACTCACCTCTTTTCTGTACACCAGGTTCACACCAATACAATTGAGGGCACTTGGTGTGGAATTAAGAGACAGGTTCCTGTCCGGAAGCGGACAAAGAAGCAGGTGCAAGGGTGCCTGTTTGAGTTTATCTGGAGGCGTAACAATGAGAAGAACCTGTGGAACGGGTTGCTTGCAGCCCTTAGAGATGTTCGGTATGAATACTAAGTTGTAAAAGTAGCTCTATCCGTTTCAATAGTCAATTTCTTGAAAATAGTGAGCTCAGTTTCTTTGCTCTCATTTATGTGTGGGTTGATCATACTAAAGACAAAAATAGCTTCACGCTTTGAGACAGAATCAAAAGATTTCATAGATGATGGAGGTTGCTAGGCCTTTCTGAAACCATTACTATAGAGTTGCCTGTACAACAAATGTTTTACGAGTGGTCCAGGATGACCGGAGTTGCCGGGCAAGCTAGCTTATGCTTTTATTCATATGAATATCTATATAAACTCCAACGCCCCTGCTCAGTCGTGCATTTGACTCCGGGACTGCCAAAAAATGTTTTCTCCGGGGTGGGGAAGCAAAACTGGAGTTTAGCCCAGCAGGACTAACAAATTCCTGCTGGCTTTGGCTTCGGATTTCAGTTGCAGTCTTCACGAGTTGAGTATTCTGCGAGAAGGAGTAAAATAATAAAACATACGAAATATATTTTGCCTCTTCTTCCTGAGTGATTTTCAATGGACACGTAAGCAACGATGCGAACCGAACCCAAATTTCCACCTCTTATTTGCGACCCATCAAAAGCAACCGCGATGTCGTTGAGGGGAATGCACGTTCTAAGGCTGTTTCTCGTCACTAAAACACTAGAGGCTTTTCATCGTTGACTGGAAATGGTCTTATAATCCCGATGGACAATCTAAGGAAAGTCTAGGCTCTAAAAGGAAAGAGAGTGTTATGAAAGAAGGCAGAGTATGCAGCTTTCCGAAGCCGGAGTTTTCCTTTGAGAGTGGGGCACTTGAATTCAACTTCCCGACCACCACCACCTTCCCAGTCAACTGTTCGGATTGGGGCCGAAGGGTGGAAAGAACCCAAAACAAAAAAGCTCTCACAATTCATCAAGATAGCAAAAGCAAACAGTCGACGCACAAACCAAGGAATACATTCATCATGGTGATCGACATGGTATACACTCCCATGAACGTGGTTGAGCTAAACAGTCTGGCCGTGCTTCAGATGCGCCAACAACAGTTTGGTCAAGCCCTCAGCACTCTTCAAACAGCCGTCGTGGTGCTCGAGGAGATCTATCGCACCAACATGATCGGGTGCCATCAGCCCAACAAGAAACGTCGTCGTCTTTCTTCAGGTGAATCGGTGTCCAGTGACACAGAGGATGATGCTGTTGGGGTTGTTCAAAGTGTGCAAGTGTTGGACGAAAAGGCCCAAGCAAAGTTGGTTTCCAACTCGGCAGTTCCCAATGACGACGTCTTGCTCTTTTATGATCGCGCATTTACCTTCCAGAACTTCCAAAACATTGACTTTGAACTTTCTGAAAACAAGTCCAGCCTCTCTGGTATGATTCTGTTCAACCTCGGATTGGTGCAACACATCCTCGCCATCAAATCTGGTAGCTCTTCCCACATGTTCCAAGCTTTGCGCTTCTACCGACTGGCTCACGTGTCATTGGAGCAAGTGAAAGATGTTGTCTCGATGGAAGTTCACATCCTCCTCCTGATGGGACTTATCAACAACATGGGTCACATTCACGCCTGCCTCTTTCATCGAGAACAGACCCAAAGTTGTATCGACTGGCTTCGCAGGGCCGTTATTTCCAAACAAGGCGCCGTCCTCGATGTCGTTGACCATGACTTCTTCTACTCCAACCTCCAATCTCTTCCCTCCGATCTCTACAAGTTTGCACCTGCAGCATGATAATTATACCCGCAAGCAGATATTGACTGCAGCAGTGCTATGAACCATTTCACATGCATAGAAAAGACTAGTATACTTGTATAACAAAAAGATAGAAAACATGATTACATTATTGCAAAACACTGCTCTATGTTTCAAAAGCAAACCTGAGTATCACCATAGAATATTTTGCCGTAGTGATCGTATGATACCATCGCAAGTAGCTCTTGTTATTTGTTGATAGTCGGCTGCCCAGAAGCAAGACCATAGCTAGAAAATCGGCAACTCGTGAAAGCCCATTCATTCATGGTGAGTGAGTGAAACGCTTCACGGCATCGCGACTTACAGGTACACCCGGTGGTCAAAACTTTCAGGTCGCACATCTGCTCTTTTGAGAAGATTTCTGCTCCACACAACAACACAGCTGCTGCTAGCTAGCTAGCAAGTGTTCCGACCAACCGCTGGAGCAAGAGAGAGAAAAGTGACAAAAAGAGCTCCGCCATTGACGATAATAAAGCCAAGAAATCATGTTGGCTCGATACACCTAGCTAGAAGACGCTGAGCCGAATTCTTGAGCCCATTACTGACTACCGTAGTATGACCATACTCGCTAGACTTGAATCGAATCGAATCCTAACTAAAGAGCAGACAACAATGTTTGAATTACTACACTTGTACAGTACAGTAGGAATTCTATCTTCTGCACCTCTGCAGACAGGGACGTACCGGTACCATACTGGTACCGGTACCGGTACCGGTACGGTGCTACTAGCTACACGTAGTAGCTAGCTAGTAGTAGTACCGGTACCAGTACCGGCACACCGGCACACAATGCACAACTCCCAATTGTTTTGAGCTAAATCTCTGGATACCGATGGTGACAGTTAGTTTCCTTTGCGGAAGAAATTTGGAAAAATGACATGATCGCCAATTTTTTGGAGCTAAAGGAACAGACCCATGTGCAAGGCCAATGCCAAACAAGACAAGAGAGAGGCAGCATTGGTTGTCATTCAACCATGAAGCTATTATACAAACGATGTCTTCAGGCATCGGTGATACTACTATGGAGCATGAGAACAGCCAATGCCTACTTCAAGGCGCACGAAGATGTCACCGATCTGCGATTCCTGGATTGTGATTCTTCGATCTACTATGATCAATTGCTGGCGCAGATCAGTGATCCTTTCCAGTGGACCAAACTAGACTTGCAGATGCTGACAGTGAGACGGCATCGTGGCAACGTCCCAGCAGAAGCTGGACAATGGGGAGACGATGATATCTACCAAGCAGTCATGGATTTGGACCATGGAGAAGAGGCGGGAACTGTCAAAATGATCTACCGAAACACGAGCCTAACCACCAAATTCAAAGGCTTCATTTGGGAGATAGAACATCTGTGGTCTACCAAGGAAGGAGGAGGCATCAATGTGACCTCAGCTGCTTACACCGATGTGCATCATGTGCGTGCAGCCGATATCAAAGTTCAGGAAGCCAAAACAACCCGACATTTCGGCATGTGTGGCACTGTTTCATCGCTTGACAACTGTGTGGTTCCTGCAACAAGTGAAACAAGCTGGGATACAGCTCGAGACGACAAAATATGGCAACCACCGGAGTCCAAAAGGGGGGAGATTGCAAGAGCTCTGCTGTACATGGATTTGCGGTATCAAGAGCTCAAACTTGGAGATTGTGAGCCCTTTGCAACTGGGCATGTGGGATATCTATCTCAATTGCTCCAATGGCACACAGACTATCCACCCACAGAAGAAGAAGTACGACGCAACGACCGAGCCTGCACGCGATGGCAGGGCAATCGCAATCCTTTTGTCGACTACCCTGACTTGGCGTTGATTTTGCATCGAAGCCCTCAGGTTCCAACGACGGGCTGCAAGCCAGTGAATGTTACAGATGGAGAAGAAACAACAAGCTCGGAATCAAACACAATCTCCGATTCGGGAAGCAATAGCGGTATCATCTCGGTAATGGAAACAAAGAGCCCAACGTTTTCCCCACTGCCTCCTCCCACCACAGCAGCACCCACAGCTACCCCAAACGCTTGTGCATCTATTCAGGAAGGCAACGTACCTTTCTTTCTGGTGAATACCAAGAATCCTGACGAAGTCATGTTCATTACTCTGGAGGGTCTTGAGGGAGGGATGGAGCTATACCTTACAGATCAGGCGTGGGATGGACGAACTTTGATCAACAATGTACTCGATGAAGGCACAGTGATGGTAAGCAATGCCTTGTTTGTACTACTGCACTGAGGTAACCTATTGAATGACTGAAGATGTTGGCCTTTCAATTGACAATGTGTTGCTCTTCGCTTTCTGCTTGTGCCAACTAGATGACAACGCCCAACCAAGGAATCGCAGCAGGTACAGTATTTGGATATGGACTCCGAGCAAACCTAGGAACTCGTTGGACGAAAGTGGCGGGTACCTTCACATTGGGATTGAATGGCGACAATATCTTTCTCTACTGCTTGGACAACGACAACAAGATCCGCTTTCTCTCTGGCTTCACCAACAACTATGACTGGGCACCAGCTTTCTTGGATGCGTCAGACTACGGTCACAACAGCAGTGCTCTGCCGGACTCGCTTGTGAACAGTTCCATCAAGCTGCCGCATCAATACAACTACTTCTACAATGGACCGAGGGATGCTCGCGTTAACCTATTGCGACGGAGCATTTTGGATCCCAACGAATGGGAAGGATCCAACGACCTTCGATATTCGATAGACAAGCCGGACGAAGAGGAAGCGTCCTCATCGTCCTTTGTGTCATGGGGCTCTTCCTTTGCCACATTGATCGTGATGCTGAGTTGGGCTTTTGTGAACTAGCTAGCTCTCCAAACCTGCATGGCCCTGGACTACCCCTTATGTTTTGCTACTAGTAGTAGTCAGCGTTGAGGATTGGATGAAGCTTTGGATAGTGATGTTCATTTATTTGTTTGGCACTAAGTTAACTGTAAGATAGAATCCTCCCAACCTTTCTTCTCTACAGCCTAGCTAGAGCTGCTCACTTGTTGTGAAACGTTGAACTGGCTACGGTAGGTCACATGTTTCATCTTGCAGTGTGTCTGTTTTGTTGGATTCCTGGTCAAAACTGCGGGCAAGCCAAAGCGCACAGATACATCAGAGCACACAAGTACGAATGGAGTTGCTACGATGTAATGCAGCTACTACTAGCTAGGAAATGTATCAATGCTAATCTTTTAAAAAGACATGTTTCTTATGTTCTTCGCAATGACCGCTTGTATGCATAGTCCCCCTGTTGGATGATGGTGTAATTGACAGTATGGATTACATAGCTTTCCCCTTGTTAGGATGGTCTCTACTGTAGGAGGTACATGTATGTTTTGGGTGTGACTTGTTTTAGAGTTGAGCATCAACCTCTGAATCGAATAGCTTGTTTGATCAGTATCAGTGAGTTAATGCATGTGCGCAGTATGGTGTTAGCGATGTGGAGTGATGGCGGTGGTGGATAATGTAGCGTTACTACCTGTAGCTACGGTAGCATGTGTCCGAACTAGCTAGTAGATAGCGAGAATCTACCGTTGCTTGGAAAGATCTTGGAATGATGATACCTTGGCGATCCTTCTGAGCGGCGATCCCTCGTTAGTTCGTTTGAATCCCCGCGGCTCTTGTTCATTGTGGTGGATACCCAACTGTAGCAATACAAATTGGCGTTCTCGTTGTAGTTTCTCAAAAGTGACGGGATGTACCAGGGCACTGGACTGAGTTGTCTCATCATGCCAAAGGCAGAACTGGTCTTCTTCTTTGGCTTGTCTCCAGTCATTGCAGTCTGCATAAAACTCAAGCTCGTTCCTTGCTGCATTCGTCTGGATCTCTCGTAGACTGTTCCAGACGAGTTTTCTCACGGTGGGGCAGCAGTCTCTATGGGAAGGGATCTCCCTGACATGGACTTTGTCGCGAAAGTTCACACGTTGCTTCTTGCTGCCGTCGTAGGAAGCACACCCATGCTCTTGTCGTTGATGATGATACTTGAGTCCTTCCGTGTACTCCTCACTGTCACTTCGGATACCCACCAGAGAGACCTTACGTGAGGGGAGCGAGGAAGAGCGGAGATCGAAAGGATTCTCATCAGTCGCAGAACATAGGCGACGGCGCTTGGCGAGTGGCGTTCTCATGGGATCATGGTGGATATTGTCGTCTGCGGTAGCGGGGGTATCTTCGTCCACTTCAATGCGGTGATACTGAATCTCCAGACTGGCAGTAGAGGGGAAATCCTCCGGCGATGCCACGATACTCTCCACTGCAGCGGCCATGGTCATGTATGTGACAAAAGAATTCCGAAAATCTTTGAGGGATACACCAATTCAGAGGGCGAAGAACTTTTTTCCTCCACGCATTCACTCCAGATCATCAGTTACATGCAGTTTTAGTAGTTTGTTCGCTTTCACCAGACCGACCACAACAGCGACACCATCGAGGCCAGCTGCCAAGGGCGAACAAAGACCAACAAACAATGCCACCCAATGTTCGACCAGTGATTGGAGAGGCAGTTGAAAGTGAGAATGCCTGCAACTTGAGTAATAAAAAGGGGTGTGGAAGCATCAACAATTACGAAAATGGGAGCGAATTAGCTGGCGATTGCACCTCTGGAAACGCGTCCAATAGCAATCATGCCGAACAGGGAGGCCGGCGTGTAAGCAGCTGGGTGGATACTCTTTATGCCACGTAGGCACGGATACCAAAGCGGCTCCAAAAAGCACTTTGGAAAAGTCTATGGAGAGCATTGGATCATTGGATCACAGGTGCTCGTTTAGTTGCCAGGAACAGCCTACAATAGTCCAAGAGTAAAGGAGGCTTCTATTTCCTAAAAGCATTGATTGATGTGGTAGCTCAACCACGTCTCCGGCATGCTATTATTATGGTTGTCAAACAGGCTGTCCAGGATGATGTCAAGCCTGGCCTGCAAGCCTAGTACACTTGCTTGTGTCTTGCTTCTTTGGGAGAAGCTATTGCGGACCTCCAAACCGGCTGGTGGTTGCGCTAGCTAGGTGGCAGCCAGTCTGCTAGATAGCTTGACACTTCATTCTCCAGCGCAGTTGCCATGTATGTCATGATTTTTTTTTGGTGGGGCCACACTGAAGATGTTCAATCCTGGCCCGCAACCATACGACTGTACTGCTGGACGCTGGACGTCTTGCCAGCTTGTTCTGTTTGATGGCCAGCTAGACAATTCATTCTTCACAGTAGTGCATTTGCCACGCCAGTGTTTTGCCGTGTAGACCAGTCCTACAAAACCTATCTTTGAAGCAAGAAGAGCAATGTCTCCTCGACTAATCAGACAGGAGTGTGAAAATAATTGATATTGGGGCACCGTTGTCTGGAATAGGCCACTGCTTCCTGGAAGTCTCCATCACTGAGATTTTCTGCCACTTTTAGAAGGAAAGCATAATGTTGGTATTCCGCCTCCAGAGCGTGGCACAAGCGCTGCCTTCCCATTGGACTCAAATCCCTAGTGACTGCAACCTTCCTTTCCTCCATTGGATGGACTGGATGGTGGTTATTGGTAATTGTAGAAGTGGTGCTGCTTTCCCCAGTAGTTGTTCCCAATAATCGGTTGACGCTTTCCCAATCCTTCCACAAGTGTTCTGTTCGAATTGCGTAGATTGTTGTTGTAGTACCAGTAGTATCATTTGGTAGCAGGGATATGATTTTGCCATAATCAAAGAACCAATGTTGAAATCGTCGTATTTGAGAGTCCAAGGCCGCACGGGCCAACGTTTGACAATTTCCCGTGGCCACGACATTGGGTGGATGCGGATAGGAATAATAGTTATTGTCCCCCAGCAATTGTACAAATCGTTCCAAAGAGGGAAAGCAGCGATATGCCTTGAACCGACTATTCAAGTCGGCCAAGGAACTGTTTCGTTGGTAACTGTCATCATTGAGAGGATGATCGTACGTAAAGGCGGAAACAGTGCGATCAAACGGATCTCGTAGCGTCAAGACGTAAAAGGAATGATGATTGTCGGGTAGTGTTTGAAAGTCAGGGACTATTCATAGTGGGTTGGTTGGTGATCAAAGAGAGAGAGAGAGAAAGTGGTGGCTTTGGTGTGAGTGATCAAAATACATGAATAGCGTTGTGTGTATTGGATGATGGTTTGTTTTTCTCTTGGTGTCTCACCATGGTAGTAGCTCTGAATCAACTTGGAAGCCAGTGTTTCATTGGGTATTCGTCGACAGGGTTTGGGCATAAAGGAATGACAGCCATTCCTCAGCATTCGCGATACGGCGCTTCCTCCAGTCTTTCCAATGTGCACAAATGCTCCATTTGGTTGCTTGTCCATGACAACGTTGATGGATGTGGTATTTTGAGCTTGATTGGTACCCACTTTTTGTGTTATTCTCGTGAAGTGCTGCTTGTTGTGGACATGGCCATCCCTACCGGTAGAGTCACTGCTCAGAGTACCTTGATGCATTCCCATCATGACCATGGCTTCCATCACATTCTGAAGAAAGCAAAGAGTTCCTAGCAGTAGAAACCACGACAGCACCCGTCTCAATTGCGAGAGTCGCCATTGGATCTTGACCGTCATTGTTGAAATAATGATGTTGTTGGAGTTAAATGTAGTCAGTGCTAAAATTCAAACAATGTCTCTGAAGAACCATTCATCTTGGACTCGACTCAGCAGTACCACCTTACTAATCTCCTTTCCCCCACTATTTGTTGATTGATAGCTAGCTGTGAGCAATAGGCATCTTAATGTTGTCATCAACAACACTCCATCAGTGCGGTCGCATAACAGTTGATAGCTCGGTTAGTTCATGTTGTGTTGTTGTCATTGCCGCGATCTTTATTGGCATGGAACGCGATCCGATCTTCATCAGGGCTCACAAAACTTCCGGCAAATCTTTGGGCAACGTCAGCGATGTCAAACCCAACGTTTTGTGGTGGAGCAGGATGCATTTGCAGCCTTTGCAAGCGCAAAAACCAAGTTAGCTGTGGGTTTGTCTCATTATTGTTGTCAATCTGATTTTACCCTTTACTATACAATTGTCAAGCTAATAAGAAACCATGGCAAAGGCAACACTTGGTTTGATTTCGGTCTTTCTCTACGGTTGGTCCGTGGTATGTGGGTTTTCGTTGGATGCTTCGACTCCTACCAAAGCCGCAGCGTCACTCTGGCAAGATGTTCCCCAAGGTCCTCCCGATGCCATTCTAGGAATTGCACAAGCTTTTCGAGCCTGCGAAGATCCCAAAAAGGTCAATGTCTGTGTCGGTGCCTACCGAACGTCCGAAGGCAATCCATGGGTACTTCCCAGTGTCCGCAAGGCCGAAGGCATCATGCTCGAAAACAATGAAATCAAGGAATATCTACCCATTGAAGGAGATGCCGCCTTTGTCGAAAAGGCACTCCAATTCGCTTATGGCAAAAATGCGCCACTCGATCGCATTGCCGGTGTCCAAACCTTGTCGGGAACGGGTGCGTGTCGCATTGGAGGAGCCTTTTTGAATGCGTTCTTGCCCGGTCGAACCATTTACATTCCCGATCCTTCCTGGGGCAATCACAAGAAAATATTCGAGGCGTGTGGATTGACCGTGCAAACTTACCGATACTACGAACGATCGCAAAATGGTCTCGATTTCGAGGGCATGCTGGAAGATATTCAAACCGCTCCCAAGGGATCCATTATGCTACTCCACGCGTGTGCTCACAATCCCACCGGATGCGATCCCACTCCCGCTCAATGGCAACAAATTTATCAATCCATTTTGGAACGAGATCATGTCGCCTTTTTCGATTCCGCCTATCAGGGATTTGCGTCGGGAGATTCCGAACAGGATGCCGGAGCCCTTCGGGCTGCCGTCGATGCCGGATTGCCCGTTCTATTGGCACAATCCTTTGCCAAAAATTTTGGGCTCTACGGAGAACGATGTGGAACCCTCAGTGTTGTTTGCGGAACTGCCGCACAAAAAGACTTGGTCATGAGTCAACTCAAATGCATCATTCGACCCATGTATTCGTCGCCGCCGCGACACGGTAGTAGCATTGTCAAGACGGTATTGTCGGACGAACCATTGACGGAACAGTACTACGAGGAATGTGCCAGTATGGCAAATCGCATTGTGGACATGAGGACCAAACTGGTGGAAAAACTCCACGAGGTGGGGTCCACTCATGATTGGTCCCATGTGACACAACAAATTGGAATGTTTGCATTTACCGGCATGTCCTCGGACATGTGCGATCAATTGACAGAAGAGTATTCCATCTTTCTCACACGAGACGGGCGGATCAGTATTGCGGGGTTGAATGATAACAACCTCGAATATGTGGCCAAAGCCGTTCATGCGGTCACGGATGGAAAGAGCATCACATCCAACTAACTAAAGGAAATGGAATGAACTGAAAGATTGTATCCATTGATTTCTTCTATGACCTACCTACATGTAGTACATCATCTACAAGTTGAACATTATATGTTGAGAATCGATTCAAAAGTATATCGGTTGCGACATTTGGCTAGTACATGGGAGTCATATTCTAGCTTGCGACTGGTTACTCGCTTGTCGTTTGAGCGGGTTTTGGCTTTTCTTTCAGGGCTAGACGGACTTCGTCGCCCCAACCTTCCTTGTCTCCTTCCTTGACGGGATCCAGTCCCACTCGTTTCAACAGCCGGAGGGCTTCGTAGGGACGACTACAATCCAAGCTCTTGCGTAGAATCTTGGCCTTTTGCTGTTGCACTTCCTGACCAAATCCAACCCAGTAGTAGTTCACTGTGGGCCACTTTTCGCGAGGCAACCAGGCTTCGAGATGCACTCGAGTCGTTTCCGGATATTTGGATTCGGGGACCCATTTGAGCATTACAAAGAGACGGTGCATATGAGTGTCCACACCAATACCAGAGTACGTGCCCCAAGCAATGTTTTCGATCAGATACGCCATCTTGGGACCAATGCCCTTGAGCTCCATCATCTCTTTGGCCGTCCTGGGAATATCGCCGTCGTACTTTTCCAGCAGCACTTGGCAGGCCTCCTTGATGTACTTTGTTTTGTTGTTATGAAACCCAACCTTTCCAATGAGAGCATTCAATTGTTCCTTTGGCGTATTGTTGTGGATATTCTCGATTGAAAGTCCGTGTTTCTGCAGCGCTCTCATGGTTTCTCCCACGACGTGATCTTTGGTCTGGCTACTGAGCATGAGGGCGATTAGCACCTGGAAACGAAAGCCCTTGTCTCCCTGGTCTGTTTCGGGCAAGGCTTCGGCTCCATCCGCATCCAAGGGCGCCGTCTTGTCTTGTCGCAGTTCTTCTACCAGCGAATAAATCTCTTCCCATCCTTTGGGGGGTGCCTTGGATCCAGGTTCCGGTTTGGAGTTGTTGCGTCTTGCTTTTTTGGTGCCAGCCTTCTTCGAGGCGGGTGAAGTCTTCTTTGGGGGTGGAGATGGAGTGACTGCTGTTGTAGGATGCTGCTGTTCTGCCTTGATGCGTTTCGCGGGAGGACTGTCATTGGGGTCATCCTCAATTGATCGCGTTTTGGCTGCAACAGTCAGTCGCGGCGATCTCCTCACGGACATGGCGAAACGATCACTGAATGGAGGGTGATGCCAATAATTATTGGAAACAGTGGTAACTCGACGAAAGGCTGCCGGATTAGATGATAATGCACAAGATGGTACCCAACAGCAGATCCAATACAGCGATGCCAAGCAGCTTCTTTGTCTACTACCAAACGAGAAAGACTTTGCCACGTGTCCCAGATTCATCAATCAATCAAGTTCTCAATCCACAGGAGAGAGGGCAAGTACCGTACCTTTGCTAGATGCTACTGAATAGGATGTAGAGCCAGGACAGAACTGCATTGGTTGGATACAAGGTGAGCGCATTGGCTGCCATGAGACAACATGTGCCTGGGATCCGAGAATTACATGTAGAGGTTCAATTCGCCGTTTCTTGGGAACTCGATGGCATTCGAAACGGTTAAATCATTCCATTCATTCGAATCGAACCGATTCAATCAATTCGATTCAATCATTCAATCATTCGATAATCTATTGCTAGTTCTAGCTCTATGAGATGTCCGCGCAGGAAATAGCACAACCCACGTAAGACACATCTATAAGACGTCTGATCTTTAACTAAAAATATTTGCCTTCTAATTGGACTCATTTAAAAGGCGCGCCAGAGCAAAAACTGTGACTACATCGTTAACGTCTTATTACCTTTCCACATGGGCATTCTCACGAGCCGAGCCCAACTCCCACCACGATAATCGGTCCTCTCTCTTCAACCAGGAGCAGTTCGACAGCACCATGCACAGCAATGCCAACATGCCAACGCTGTAATGATGACATGGTTGCTCTGTTGGTCCTGTTGTTAGTTGTGCTGAGCTCTGTCAATAGGCTGTCAATCATAGGGGAGACGCTCACCAATTCAAGGAGTCGTGATGAAATTTCCAAATGGGTTCCTATCCATGAAAACCCGAAGAAACGGATCTCTAGTTTGAATGTTGATCTTGATCTGCCATCGATTGTGCCGATGACGATGTTCATTGCACGATGTCAGGCCTTCCTTCTTCCCTTCCGCTGATTCCTTTGGTGGCCAACAGGCACGAAGCTCCCATTGTTGGTTTCTAGTAACACTCTAGCTTAGTAAAGGTAAAAGGGTTTTACTGTTAAGCTATTTCCAAGAAGTGATCTTTCTCCATGTATTTCTGGGATTGATTCAACTTCAAAGGATATAGTGAAGGGGGTGAGCTTTTCCATAAGTGATCTTTTCTGTATTTTCTGGGATTGATTCAACTTCAAAGGATATAGTGAAGGGGGTGACCATATAGATCAGTTAAACTCCCCATGTATGTAACTAGGAATGATTATGAAATTCCCCTTCACTAGAATGGGATCACGACTTTTGTATTGAGTGTCTGTATAAACCTCAAACACTCCTGCACGGTTCCATAAAGGATACCGTGGAACGAATAATTAATGTAATGATGGTTGCTCCATAAGGAACAGTTGTTGGTCGAGAAAGACCAATTGCTAGGTTGCTCGGCATTCCGCGTGGTGGCGAGAAGCTTGTCATCCATTGCAGTGCTGACAAATCTGTCACAGTCAATGTGGACATGTGGACAGTGTCGTCATGAAAAGCCACTGTGGCTACCACTCCTGTGAGTGTTGCCACTCCTCCTGTATGACTTGCTGTGCCGGTTGGTGCCGTCACTTGATGTTGCTGTATTCGAAACTGGGAAGTTCCGATCACTTGTTGAACCGTGGACTGGGAAGTTCCGGTCACTTGGTATTGCTGTAGCTGGAAACTAGGAAGTTCCGGCTGCATTCTCGTAGACTCAAACTGTGCTCTTGACTGGCGGTGTAGACTGAACTGGACATCGATATGCCATGGTCTCAATCGCCAATGATGTGTGGAAACATCAATCCATTCAGGCTTGATACTGGATTTGGAAATCAGGTGAGCATGAGTCTGTGCAATAGCTTGGTAGCTATCTGGAGTCAGCTTGTTGTCCATTGGAATGGAACGTGAGCTGTCTCTTCTTGTTGGATGTCCAAGAGGTGTTGGATGTCCTGCTGTTGTCTTTTCCAGAGGAATGGAATCCTCTTCTTCCCAGCTGGGGAAGCTTCTTCCTTCATCACGGCCTCCTCTTCTTTGGAATTGAATGGCTGTGACTTGTTGTACATGAATGTGTGCTTGCTTGATGTGGACCTTGGTTTGCACCTCTTGTAGATGGGTGCTGGCAACTTGTGGCGTTCCGTCGAACTGTTGCTTGCTTTGAGCTGGTTCCATAGTGGAACTGTTCCTGTGGAACTGTGGGAATCCTCTGCAGAAGATATCCCGGTAGCACTGGTGCGTGGCTACCCTTGCTTGAGTAAGCTTGCTCTGCCTAGATAGGCTTCTGTGGTCGCACTTGCAATCTCATGATGGATCTTCTGAGTCGATCCCGAGAGTCAAACTGAATCGATCTTGTGGTCGCTGCTTGTGATTCGATCGCTTCGTGTCATTCGATCTGGCATGATCGTGTCTTGTCAGTCGATCTGGTGTGTCAATCTGGATTGATCGATCGGAGAATTCAAAGGAAGGTTGAAAAAGGTTTGAGACTTTGGTTTTGGTGGGTACAACTTTATCAATACCACTCCTGCTGTCACTGTTGGCACACTCCTGTGAGCGAGCTGTGGCAGGACTTGTACTTGTTGTAGCCAAAGCTGGCTTGGTTGGTTTGGACATTGGATGCACCTTGGGGTTGCTATGGAGCTAGAGGTGGTTCCTCTAAGATTCCTGAGAATCGATAGCACTCAAAGTGTCTATATGTGCTTGGGTAAGCAGACTCCTGCCTCGGAAAGGCTTTGTAATCCAAGTCTCACGTCGTCGTGTCGACTAGCTTGCAATGAGTCCAAAACAAACCTTGGAAGTAGTTGCTCGGCATCCCGCTTGGTAACGAGAAGCTGAGCGGTGGAGACGAGACAATACGGACATTGTCATCATCGGAAAAGTCTTTGTGGCTGGCACTCCTGCTGAGAGTGATGCCACTCCTGGAAGACTGGTGTCGGATGATACCGTCACTTGGTGTACCTGCGGCTCGGACTGGGAAGTTCGGCTGCATTGACACTTGATGGGGCCGGAAGCCCTTCGTCGATGGAAGCTGGTGGAAGCTTTTGGAAGTCGTAGACTTGTGGGAAGTGATGCCCTATTGGAAGGTGCATGGAAGCTGGAAATGATGTAGCTTGGAAGTCACGGACTTGTTGGGTTCGACTGAACCTAGTTCTTGGATGGTCTCGATGTCTGAAGATGGAATGAGGAAATGGTTGAGTGATTGTTTCCTCTTGTCATGGTTGTTTATACTCATGTGAGACTCGTGACTGCTGGTGTCATCACTTGTGGTGACTGGTGCCGTCACTTGGTACCGTCATTTGGTGTTGCCATAGCTGAGACTGGTAAGTCAGGCTATAGCGACACTTGGGAGAACTGTTGTGGTAGCTGGAACTAGGAGGAAGTTCCTTGCCACAATGATACTTTGAGTTGGGGCTGGAAGCCCTTGGAAGTTTGGAAACTTGTAAGGAACAAGTAATGGGGTAGTAGTTGTGGAAGCTCCAACTTGATGGGCTCCACTGGACCTGGACGTGTCACGGTCGATGATGGTTCGATGGTGATGTAGTTGGCAGATCCTTTGGTTGGTGATGCCACTGCTCTTACACTCCTGTGAGTTGGCTGTGGCAGGACAAGTGTTGGTTCTGTCACTGCTCTTACACTCCTGTGAGTTGGCTGTGGCAGGACTTGTAGTTGTCCGTAGTTGTATCTATGGTTGGCTTGGTTTGTTGTACTGGTGTACTTCTGTTGTTGGTGTGAGACTAGGTTGGTTGCAATCTCTGTACAGTAGTTGCAGTGGAGCTGAGGTGTGCACCCTCTTGTTGTTTCTATTGATCAGGTTCCCGCTTGTGGGTCAAACTCTGAATGCTCCAGCCATCCTGTGGCTTGGTTCCTTGTCTTGTGAACTCTTGAGTGGCTTGCTTGTAGCTAGCTACTCGGTTCAACGTTCACTGTCATTCTGCTGTTGTTGCAGTTGTTGTTATTGTAGATGCAATTTGAATTTGGTTTGGTCAATTCATTGTAATCGGTTTGGTAGTGGTAGATACCGTTGTTGGCTGTTGTTGCCATCGATGCTGGCTGTTGATGTAGCCATTGATGGGTGTTGGCCGTGTTGTTGTGGCCATTAGTGCCGTTGATGGTTGCGGCATTGCCTATAAAGGCGGATGTTATGATGATTTTGTTTGTAGGCTTGTAGGTTTTGGGTACCACCACACTCCTGTGCACTTGCTGTGATCAAATAGCAAGGGCATGGTCTTGTAATGGCATCTGTTGTTGCCTACCTAGAGGCTGGTGTTGCCTCAGGTTTGCCTGTAATCAGTGGAGGAAGTGCTGTGGTTTAGTTGCACAATACACATTCCATAAATGTGGTGCTGTGGCTTTGGATGCCACAATACACTCTCCATGAAAGGGGAGTAGGAGGTGCTGAGTGTAGACTCAATACACACTCCAAAGAAATTATTTGATGCTGGTGGAAGCACTCCTGTGCTTCCTGTAGCTTGAAAGCTTGAAGCTCTTGTGCTGGTTCTAGCGCTAGCTATTACCGGGAGCTAGCACTGTGCATGCTCGGGTACAGGCACCGGTGCATGACTGCTTGCTTGGATCTTCCACGGAAAATCCTCTTGTTGGGTTCCGTACGGAGAGATCTTGAGATTTGGCTCCGTGCGGGAAAGATTCCTTTCGAAAGATACCTTTTTCATGAAAGATACCTTTTCGTTGTGACGTTCAGCAGCTTGTGGCTGCCGTTCGCTGGACTGTTTGTGCTTGTTCTTTGGAGTTCCGTGCGGTACCAGCAGTGAGATCTCCTCACAAAAAGCAAGGTCTTCACGTTGTCGGCACTTCTTCTTTTCTTCTGTCAACAGGAGTTGCTGACACTGTTGCCGATGGGTATCGACACTGGCGCTGTTGTTGTAGCGGTAGGTAGCGACTGGCTAGTGGTAGCAGTCGCTCGTTGTCTTTGTGTTCGCCGTAGCGTCGTTCGTGTAGCCGTAGCAACAGTAGCTTCAGCTCTTCGATTGCTCTTCGATTGTGTGGCTTTGCTGCTGCCGACGACACTCCTACTGCCGCTTTGCTGCCGACACTCCTGCTGTCGCTGCTGTTGGACGCGGCAGTAGCGACCGGCTAGTATTAGCGGTCACTGTTCTGCTTGTTTCTTCTTGTTGACAGTAGTAGCGATCGTTCAATCGCTTCGGTCGTCTTTTGGTTTTTCTTTCAATTTTGCTTGCTTGAATGCGCCGATGGATGCAACTCAGTTCCTGTTGCATTCGACACCTTGCACTCTTCAGGTCTTGTCCTCTGTTGCTCAAAGGACACCTTGTTGTATGACAGTCCTGTCGTAGGACCTGCCGTTGCCGTGTAATCGGCTTGGTGAAATGGCTTGGTGCGGCAGAATTTTTCCGTCGCACCTCAACTCTAGTAGCCTATTTCGATGGCTCTCTTGTTGAGGATAGGAGCTCTCCCACGGAAGTACCTCTGTGGTCCTTCCACTTGCTGTTGGAAATTGTTATCTA